TATCAGTTCTGTAACAGCATTAATATAAAAACTCCTCAGTCCTCTGACTGTCAGTTCTGTTCTTTTTAAAGCACGGTGCCTTGTGAACATCAGTGACTCCACCAATAAGTGTGTTTTAACTGCTTGGCTGCTTAATGGAGATGCAGCCTCGAGTAAGCAGTCCTTAAATCACTTGAGCATCGTGAGGTCTCTCTGACTCCTGCTGAACATGTGGCTTTGTGGAGGACAGTACATGTAAGCGTTTTTCCCTGAGTAATGGAACCTTACAGCAGTTAACAGGGAGGTTAACATGCCACACAGCCATTGGCTTTTCAGCACCATGGACAGCGATGTAATATTGTCAAGGGCAAAAATGTGTGTGGCATAATCAGATATCAGTTATAGAATAGGTTTCATTCCCTTGGGCAGGGTGATGTCATCAGTTACAAGCTAGATTTCAATCCCATGAACAGGGTGGTGTCATCAGTAATAGGCTGGGTTTCAGTCCCATGGACAGGGTGGTGTCATCATTAATAGCCTGGGTTTCAGTCCCATGAGGTGGTGTCATCAGTTATAGGCTGGGTTTCAGTCCCATGGACAGGGTGGTATCATCAGTAATAGGCTGGGTTTCAGTCCCATGGGCAGGGTGGTGTCATCATTAATAGCCTGGGTTTCAGTCCTATGGGGTGGTGTCATCAGTTATAGGGTGGGTTTCAGTCCCATGAGGTGGTGTCATCAGTAATAGGCTGGGTTTCAGTCCCATGGACAGGGTGGTGTCATCATTAATAGCCTGGGTTTCAGTCCCATGAGGTGGTATCATCAGTAATAGGCTGGGTTTTAGTCCCATGGGCAGGGTGGTGTCATCATTAATAGCCTGGGTTTCAGTCCTATGGGGTGGTGTCATCAGTTATAGGGTGGGTTTCAGTCCCATGGACAGGGTGGTGTCATCAGTAATAGGCTGGGTTTCAGTCCCATAGACAGGCTGGTGCCATCATTTGTCAGCCTAGGTTTCGATCCCATGGACAGGGTGGTGTCATCAGTTGTCAGGTTGGGTTTCAATCCCATGCACAGGGTGATAGGGTGTTAACATGGACTGTGTTTCAGCATCCTGGATGATCACATTAGTGGGCAGTTTTGAAGCTCAGCACACTAAGCCTCAGTGCCTGTGATCAGAAGGTTGTTGGTTCAATGGCCGGCCTCGACAGAATAGTCACATGTCTGTGAGCTCCTGAGGAAGGCCCCTAACCCCCAGCTCCACGAGTGCTGGATGCTGGCAGACCCTGCGCTGTGACCCCCAAACTTGAAGTAGAGGCACAGGGCAAGTTATTCTTAAAGGGATGTTGACGGCGGGGGCGTGATAGAGGCCAGGTGTGCGCGGACCTCCGGGATCCCTCTGGGGTGTGACCTCTCGGCCTGGATCCGCCCGCCCTCTGTGCCTCTTCTACCATGCAAAAGGAGTATTTTGGGTGACACTGCGATGACGTGTGAATCGGGGGTTATGAAATGCTGACAAACAGTCAGGCTTTTGCCAAACGGTGTGCAGAGACCAGAACTGACAGGTTTACTTGCTGGTTCACAGACACTGAGTGGCGGGTCGGCTGCACTGAACAAACAGGCGAAAGATGCTGACCTGCCGTGGGCAACCGGCTCCTTCAGATCCACCCACCTCGTTTCTATAGAAACAAGGAGGATGCATGTTATGCCCGTGTCCTTTTATTTTGCTCTCTCAGGCCTATTTGTGTATCATTCGTTTAATTCCGAATGCAATTTTAGGAATTAATGACAATGGGACAGATAATGTAATAAATGGAAATAAAATGGGAAGTAATTTATCAGCAGGCAAAGCTTAGCAGTGACTCACTGTGTCGATGGTGCAGTGTTCCTACCCATCATGCACTGCATTGTGTCTACCTGTCACCCCAGGATGAGTTCTGTGTTGTAATTACAGGAGGCTCAATGAAGCCCCCATTCCGGCACGCTGTCATTGGTTGACTCAGGCCTCTTGATTATAACATACATTCAAGCACTTTTCCCTGTATTTGTCTTTTCTAAAAGCGACTCTGACAGTTTTATGTTCTTAGTATGAAAACAGCACAGCTCTTTCTCGGCACTGACTGCTCCACAAGAAATCTGCTGTTGGATTCCTGACTGCTGTGCTTCATCTCTCTGCCAGCAGGTGGCATGGCGGTTAACTTGCAGCCCAAGTTTGTTGGTGCGGCTTCCGGAAGGAGCTCTGCTGTTGTACCTTAGGGAGACACACTTATCCTGAATTGCTGCTGCAAATTGTGAAACTCGAAATTACGCAGCCGTTTTGGGGAAAAATGTCACCTAGGCAGCAAAAAAGTAGCTGTGCTCTTCTTTTTCATTCATCCCACATCTGACACGTCAGCAGCTCACGGACCTCGGGCCAAACTCAGCCCCCAGCCTAGTTTCACGCTGTCTGCAGGAACTTACGGAAAATCACACAGATAAGGTTTTAATCTAGGCGGCAGAAAACAATTTCAGAATACGGGTACATTGGTTTGAAAAAAATTTTAAAAGTCAAGTCAAGTGGGCTGTATTGTCATACCATCCAAATGCAGGTATACATCATCATCAGGCATTCTGTCGAATACGTCTTTTGGCCACACTATGGATTAGTGCTTTCCATGTTTACTGATCTAGATCAGCAGGTACACAGGAGCACGAAATAACGGTCCCCCAGGACCACGGTGATGACATACAGACAGCGAGTGATGATAATAATAATCATAACAAGTCATACTATTCTCAGTCTTCTACGTGGGACACTATAGTGGATAATAATCAGCTCGACTATCAGTCTGACCAGGCTGAAAAATATGACAGCTTGCATGGGCAACTGGGAAGGGACAGAATTAATGAACTGCTGGCAGTATGTATTTAATGGCGGTGGGGAGAGGAGGGGCGCGGTACTCTGACGGCGAGTTGGAGAGGACGTGCACTCTTAGGCCCCCCGACACGCGATGCGATGCGCAGCCGCGGGAGGGACGCAGGCCTAACGTGCCGACGGACTGCTGCTGTACTCATGGCTGCTTGGTGATTAACCGTAGCAAGGGGATCCTAGCTGAGGCCAAGCTCGCAGGCAGGTGATGTCCTCTTTCCTTAATCGTTCCTGATGCCTGCAGTCTCGTTGGCAGTGGGGGAGGTCATTTCCTGGACAGATTTTTGTTCTCAGTCCAAACATAAGTACCCTTATGTCTGTGTCATTAGCCTGTTACCCTTTACTGGGGTCCCTTGAGATTGGATTGAGTCTATCGGGGCCCCATTAACTAAAGCGACTTTGACACCCCATGTTTTAAAGTCTATATTTAGTGAAGAAAAACACACACTACTTACGCTGGACCGAAATAGGTAACTTAAAATAAACAGAGGGCCCCGCGGGACCCAGTAGCGCAGGACGAAGTCTCACATTTAGGCCGTCTTCATAACATCCTCACTGGACCTCGTCTGGGCAGAATGTTCCAGAACCAGCCTGGCAAGGCATGGCGCCACCTGGGATTCAGCGAGCTTTACGACCTGTACATAAACGCTGTTTGTGATGTCTGAATCTGGGTTATTTCGGGACCAACTAACGGCAGTTTGTCAGCAGCTCACAGGAGAACTGATGGCAGAGCTGAGCCAGTCAGAATCTCAGCCACACTGCCGGTGAGGAGCAGGGAAGGCCCAGGACAGGCCCAAGACAGGCCCAGGACAGGCCCAAGACAGGCTTAAGACAGGCCCGGGACAGGCCCAAGACAGGCCTGGGACAGGCCCAGGACAGGCCCAAGATAGGCCTAAGACAGGCCCAAGACAGGCCCGGGACAGGCCCAAGATAAGCCTAAGACAAGCCCAAGACAGGCCCGGGACAGGCCCAAGACAGGCCCTTGTGACAAATTAAACCTGAAACTTGCCCATAGCAGCATCATTGGCAGAGACAAGCACTTCTAGGAGGTGGAGCAGGCAGAATGACCTCTTATGTCCAAGGAATCCCCTTTGAGAAGAGGGATTAGCGGGTCGTTGTGCGCATGTCCCCTTTGCAAAGCGCCTGGTGCTGTTTGTCCAAAAACCCAGGTTTCCTGCCAAGAAGAGGTTGGTGCTTTGAGCTTCACTGCGTGACAGTGATCCAAAGCATACATGAAACTACAAAAGTGGGATAACTGCAGAAAATGAACTCCCTCTTCCCACCACTCACATCTACTTGCCACCACATCACAGATGTACATCAAAAGGCAAGGGGAGCTAGAAAACTCCCACGTGAAGGAAAGTTCAGGTACTTTGCTTTCTGAGAAAAGCCAGAATGTTATAGATACCATAAAGCAGGAGACATCAGAGTGATCTACGCCACAGAAAACTGCACTGAGTGAGACCTGCCGAGTGCGGCCTTCTGAGTGTGGCCTTCTGAGTGCGGCCTGCCGAGTGCAACCTGTTGAGTGCAGCCTGCTGAATGCGGCCATCTGAGTGAGGCCTTCTGAGTGCGGCCTGCAGACTGCAGCCTACTGAGTGCGGCCTTCTGAGTGTGGCCTAATGAATGCGGCCTTCTGAGTGAGGGCTTTCCAATGCGACCTTCTGAGTGCGGCCTGCCGTGTGCGGCCTTCTGAGTGCGGCCTACTGAATGTGGCATTCTGAGTGAGAGCTTCTGAGTGTGGCCTGTCGAATGCGACCTTCTGAATGCAGTCTTCTGAGCGTGGCCTGCCGAGTGCGGCCTTCTGAATGCGATCTTCTGAGTGCGGCCTTCTGAGTGCGGCCTGCCAAGTGCGGCCTTCTGAATGCGGTCTTCTGAGTGCGGCCTTCTGAATGCGGTCTTCTGAGTGCGGCCTTCTGAATGCGGTCTTCTGAGTGCGGCCTTCTGAATGCGGCCTTCTGAGTGCGGCCTGCCATGTGCGGCCTTATGAGTGCGGCCTGCCAAGTGCGGGCTTCTGAATGCGGCCTGCCAAGTGCAGCCTTCTGAGTGCGGCCTTCTGAATGCGGCCTATCGGGTTCAACCTGTCAAGTATGGCCTGTCGAATACAGACTTCTGAATGCAGCCATCTGAATGCAGCCTTCTGGGTGCAGCCAGCCAAGTATGGCCTATCGAATGCGGACTTCTGAGAGCAGCCTGTTGCGTGCAGCCTTCTGAGTGTGGCTTGATGAGCGCGGCCTGCTGAGTGCGGCCTGATGAGTGCAGCCTTCTCAGTCCGGCCTGCCAAGTTTGGTCTTCTAAGTGAGGCCTGCCAAGTGTGACTGGTGAGAATGGTGTGGCTCATAGCATTAGGCCTCAGTATCTCACCCTCAGTAACAGAGTGACATACTCCCTGCTATACATAGACTTAAAAAGAGTTGTACAATGGTCAGCTTTGTATTATTTCACACCAACAGGCTGCTCCGTTTCCTAAGGCAAATGAGAAAATGCATGATTCATTACATAGTTATTGCATATCGATCAGAATGAAATTTTTTTACTTACAAGATCATTTTGGATAGGTTGTGATATTGGACCAGTGGAGATGCACATGCGTGTGATATCTCTGTGATGTTACCAGGGGGTGCCATCTCCACTTCGCTTATCTGATGAACATGATATATTTGCGTCACGGCGTGAGCTACACTTTCTCCGCAGTCAGAGCTGCTGAACATCAATTAAAAGCTGGATGAGTCTCAGAGCCCCCCCAAACTATTCCAGATAAATGTTATTTATCTTAGCAGCAGCTTTTATCCCAGCGCCATTTTTTTTTTGTTTGTTTGTTTTTGTTTTTCCAGACAGTCCCTGGGGCAGCTGGGGTTAAGGGCCTCACTCAGGGGGCCAAAGGTGACATCACACAGCTTCCTAACCCGCTGAGCCCTCCCTGCCCCCATACTTGCAGACAGGCAGGCTTTCGCCATGTTATTTTCTGCCTCGTGTCTCCGCTTTACTCCTAAGTGTGTGCCGTACAGACGCCCCAACTCTGGGCCTCATAGACAGGCCTCGCATCTACCTGGCCCAGGTTGGGGGGTGTCAGACCATGGTTGGGGCTTGAGTGTTTTGTATGGTCTTGTTAATTTGATCCGTCCCTTCCCTGCCTGTCGTGATGTAATCAGGGCGGTGGCCTGTGTCTCCCGTCTCCCCCAACAGGACTTTGAGAATGCGTTGGCCTTCCCCCCGTACCCGGGGGAGTTCCTGCACCCGGTCGTGTACGCCTGCACGTCTGTGCTGCTGCTGTGTATGCTCACTGCCATCGTCACCTACGTCGTACACCACAGGTAAGTGGGGGGGGGGGGGGGGGGGGGGGGGGGGGGGGGGGGGGGGGGGGGGGGGGGGGGGGGGGGGGGGGGGGGGGCAAATGGGAGGGAGGCAGGCTCCTTCTGACTGAAACGGGACTGCCGAGCGAAAGCTAAAGATGAATATTTTATAATGGTCTATAAAAAGGTAGAAATGTGTAAGGTCTTTCTGGAATGTTCCGGAATATACCCTGGCTGTGCAAAAATAACAGTCAGACTGGGAATGACCAAAGAGTGTTCTTTGTAAGTGAAATGGCACATTAGCCAGTTTGGTTTCTCACGCGTCTTGCTGAATCCCCACAAAGCGAGTGGGACTTACACATGTTGCCGTGTTCCGGATGGGCGAGCGTGCATGCAGAGTGTGTGCATCTCCTGCTCTGCTCCGTACAGACAGGCACCTCAGGCGCTCAGAGACATCACATACTCTGCTAGCTCAGTACCTCATGCGTTCGGCTGATCAATTTTTAAAGGACATTAATGATGAAAAGGTCTCTTCTAAAATGTTCTCCTGGCGGTCTGCCTCCCGCAGCCGTCCGTATGGTGAGCTCGCCGCCTGTCCTGGCTTCGGGGGCTGCCTGCATGAACACGGACTGCCCTGTGGAGATTAACACGGCCACTTAGGCTCCCTGTGGAAGGACGGCAGCTTCAGCTTCTCTGGAGACGCTCTCCGGATGTCAAATGGGCCATCTTGAATCCCTTAGAAAATCAGAAATATGAAAGTGTCAATTATGCATTTGGGAAGAAACATATTGCATTTATTTTTCATATACATTTTATTTATTTACCTGCCGCTTTTAATCCAAAGTGACGTACATTGGAGGAAGCAGGGTCAGCCTGTCTCCGGAGCAGCGGGGGGGGGGTTAGGGCCTGTTCCAGGGGCTCGGCGGTGACATCATTCTGCCAACCCTGGGTCACTAAAGCAGAAGGGCCCCTTCGGCTTGTTATACTTATATGTGAGCACAGGCAGAATTTAATGTGACGCTAATTGAAGATAAACACCAACCCCCAGAGAGCTCTGCTGGTCTCCTCTCTCTTATCTGAACTGGTGCCCAACTGGCTTCCCTTTGTAGCCTCGTTAAGAAGTGGGAGGGATTCATGGCTTCTGAAGAACATGTGTAAATAATTCGCCGGGAGCCCCGGCAGCTGTGCCGTTAAGCGTGGGGGCTCACTGCAGCTCTCTGTGGTTTTTTTGTCCTCCCCCCCAGCGCCATCCGCATCAGCAGGCAAGGCTGGCACGTGCTCCTTAACCTTTGCGTGCACACGGCACTGACATTCACCGCCTTCGCCGGGGGCATCAACCGCATCACTTCCCCTGTCGCCTGCCAGGTGGTGAGTGCTCCTGCCTCCTGGGGAATCCATTATTTAGCCGCTCGGTGGCCCCTCCCCCCCCATGGGGCCCACCCCCCCACCGTCAGGGTGTCCTTGTCAAATGGACTGACAGCGGCTGACTCTCGATGCCCAAACCGAGCCATGAAGCGCCAGGCCCCCACCATGACGCCGCGGGGCTGTCGGGGGTCTCGCTCGGGGCCGGTTCATCTCACGGAGCCCGACACTGATCACCATGGTAACGAGCACCACCCGCCCGCCCCGCTTCTGACTAGCGAAGCATGCGCTAAATCCATAGCGCGAGATTACGGGTGACGCTGTCGAAGGAATCCAAGGCTTTTGCTCTGCTGTACTCACCGACTGTCTCAGTGAATACTGAGGCTCTGTTAATGGCTGGATTCACATGCAAACATGCTACGTTCGTCATATTACATGCTTAAAAACACGTTAGTTAGCATGTAATTTACATTAATGATTTGTCAGAGAGACATTTCCTCTGGGCACTCCAACAAGCAGCCGGGCTGATTGATGGTTCTAAATTGCCCATGATGTATGATTGTGGCATCACGTCCAAGGTGTCCCCTGCCCTGTGCCCTGTGATGGACTGGCATCTGTCCAAGGCGTCCCCTGCCCTGTGCCCTCTGATGCCCGGCCACCCCGTCCAGGGTGTCCCCTGCCCTGTGTCCTGTGATAGACTGGCATCTGTCCAAGGCGTCCCCTGCCCTGTGCCCTCTGATGCCTGGCATCCTGTCCAGGGTGTCCCCTGCCCTGTGTCCTGTGATAGACTGGCATCTGTCCAAGGCGTCCCCTGCCCTGTGCTCTCTGATGCCTGGCATCCCATCCAGGGTGTCCCCTGCCCTGTGTCCTGTGATAGACTGGCATCAGTCCAAGGTGTCCCCTGCCCTGTGCCCTCTGATGCCTGGCATCCCGTCCAGGGTGTCCCTTGCCCTGTGTCCTGTGCTGTCCCTGTGACTCTGACCAGGATAAATGGTCTGCTGTATGGATGTTGGAGTATCCAGAAATGCACATTTACACTAAAACGCTGTGGTAAAGCAGAGTACTACAGATTTCATAGCAGATCTAACCCATCTCACAGTTTATGAGTAGTAGCGGCGACACTGCTGCTCCAGGAGGAGCGCTAGTGAGCAGGCTTATGATGTGCAGTGTGTCTGCTCCACCACAGGTGGGCATCGTGCTGCACTACTCCTCGCTGGCCAGCCTGCTGTGGTTGGGCGTCAGCGCCAGGTTCATCTACACCCAGGTGAGCAGGGAGGCGCCCCAGGGCCCGGATGGGGACCCCTGCTCCCCCCAGAGTCCCCCAACAGGCATCGTGAGGTAGGCGGGGGGACACACACTTATAACTGACAGGGTGACTGTTAGGGTCGACACAGCTGATATCAGGAACTGCCGAGGCGGACCGGGGGCCCTAGGCTGCATGGGCGAGGGGCCCCTGAGCGGCCATTTGAGAGGGAATTACAAACGATCAATAATATGCTAATGAAAGCGTCAGGTGGCAGCTGTAGTACTTACCAATCATGGTGGGGGCAGGAATGCTGTCAGTAAAATTCGCCAATCAGGGGGAGGGGGTGTCATGCTGGACGGATCGATTGGCCAGATATTAGAGGTTTGACCTTTACGTCTTTGCTGAGGCCGCGGCTGTAGCCCAGGTCAGGCTATACCTATAAGGTTAGTCTTAAATTTCTGCGTACGTCCGTTTAATCGTGTTTTCTCCACGTCTGCTTACAATTTGTCTACCACTCTAGCAGGATAGTGTCACAGACATGGGAGACGTGATGTTAGTCTTGTATTTTTCTTCCGTTTCCTTCTGTGATGCGACCGATAGCCAAGCACTGGGCTCCAGTGCGAAAAGCAAGCTGGGCAGGGTTGGGTCTCAGAGTAGAAATGGTCCGTTCAGCCGAGAAAAGGAGGCAGCTTTGTCTCCCCTAAAAATGAAAATATCAGACACGCTAGTTTAATTTAAATGATTATTTTATCTGATATCCATAAACATTCTGTCTTTACGGGGCCTCTTTTGGCTGCCTATACCTGCCCTTTGGTCAGTCCGCCCCTGACAAGATCAGTACAATTCAGTGCAAGCTTAAGCTACCATAGCTGCAGCTCCACACCGCTCTGAACTAGCCTAAGTGAGGCGGACGGAGGTCAACAGCAGCCTGAGGTGAGCTGGTTCTTCCGGCAGGTTCTACCTGGTTAGTGACGGTGTCCCGCTCCTCATCTGCACTGTCACCGCGGCCACCAACATCCAGAACTACGGCAGCAGCGACAGCAGCCCTTTGTAAGTAGGGGGCCCCGGGCCCCGGCGCCCGCCCACTCACGCCTCCGCCAGAGACCCGGTGTTCCAGCACTGTTCTGTCCTTCCTGCCACGTTTTTAAGGGACCTTAAAATAGCCCAGAACTTGCAGAAGGTGCTTGTGCAGAACTGTCACGTTTCCTGTGGTGATGGTGATGATGTCATCGTGGTTATGAGGCCAGTGTGGTAAAACATGAGTGTCTCCCACGGCGCGTTAATGAGGGCTGGGGTGTGGGGGGCGGGCCTTGCTGATGTCACACCAGCGACTCCCCCAGGAATGCGATTAACAAGCTTCCCGTTGTGCAGCTGCTGGATCGCCTGGGAGCCGAGCCTTGGCGCTTTCTACTGTCCCGTGGCGCTCGTCGTCGTGGCGACCTGCGGCTACTTCCTGTGCGCCTCCATCCAGCTGCGGCGGCACCCCGAGCGTCGATACGAGCTGCAGGTGACGCCAGAGGAGCGGCGGCGGCCTACGGGCGGGGCAGCGGGGCCGGGCGACGCCCCCGGTGCCACGCTAGCCAATGAGCTTTCGCTGAGTGCGCAACTGCGCACTGCTGCCTTCACCCTGCTCCTCTTCCTCAGCACCTGGGCCTTTGGCGCACTGGCCGTGTGGCTGAGCCCCGTCCTCGACATGGTTTTCAGTTGCTTGTACGGGGCATCCTGTGCCAGTCTGGGCCTCTTCCTGCTCATCCAGCACTGTGCCAAGCGTGAGGACGTCTGGCAGCGCTGGTGGGCATGCCGCTCTGCCCCACCCCCCGCCGCTGCCCCTGCCAAGCCCAGCGCCAACGGCGACGCCCCCTCTGCCCACGCGGGCCCCCCGGCCTTACAGGCAGGCCCCTGTTGTGTGATCCCACTGTGCCAGAGGGAGACACAGGGCGAAGTACAGACTGGCACCCCCTCCAGGCCGCCACTGCAGAGCTGTCTGAAGGACAGGGCTAAGCCACGCCCCCTCAGCAGGTACACCTACCAGGCGGCCTCGTCGAGTCTGGACAGCAGTGCTCACGGCTCATACCCGGAGAGCCCGCAGTGCGCCCTCGAGCTGCACTCCTGCCACACGCGTGATGCAGATGTGTGCCACGGCATGCAGGAGGCGCACTCGTGTCACTGCGTCCGCGACACATTGCCGTGCTCCAGCCCAAGCGACTTGGAGGCGTGCCACGGCACAAACGAGGGCCGCATGTGTCATGAAGGGCTTGTATGTGCCGGCTCACATGATGGACATGCCTGTGACAGCACGTATGAGGCACATGCGTGTGAGTGCATGCACCAAGGTCATGTGTACAGATGCATGCGTGAAGGACACATCTGTAACAGTGTGCACGAGGGACACACGTGTAAATGCATGCATGAAGGATACACGTGTAGATGCACACGTGAAGGACACGCCTGTAGCAGCGTGCATGAAGGGTGCAGCTACCACCGGCAGCAGGCGTGCCCGCAAGCGGACCCCTTCGCCATCGTGTGCCATGGCACCACCAGTCCCAGCTCTGCCCTCTATGGCTACAGGAAGATGGCCAATAGGGAAACACTGCTTCCCCTGGAGATGGACTCACAGAACGTGGCCACTCAGATGCAAGCTCCCACCTACCCACCGACACAAACCAATCAGAACAAGAGTCAGAAGGAAAACTCGAAGCAGCAGGGCCACATACGGACCGGTCTGTGGAAGAATGAGACCAGCGTCTGAGTCCTGGGAGGAACAAGCTGCTGAAATCTCACTTTTATATTGCTCTTGTGTATGCTGGATCCGTTTTCTCTCTCCATCACTGGCCTGCATAACATCCACAGAGTTTTATTTTCCTAAAAGAGGAATAGGTAAGAAGACCAATCATATAATCAATGTTTGGACGTTTGGGGTTAGTAAAGAAGCACTGAAGGCAACTATAATTCTAACTTTCTAAGCAGCAATCACTGACTTCCATGTTTGAGACATTTACAAATGTTGTGAAATTATGGGTATTTTAATGGTTGAAATATGTAAACTAAAATAAAAAGATGAGGTAAAACAATTAATTAAAGAAAATAATTGCTTCTCACGAGGACCAAAATATATCTCGGCTAAGGAGTCCAACCCATCCTTTTATTGTCGTGTCATGTGACTGGAATGAGCCAATAGGAGCCGACGTTAGAGCTGAGCCGTGTAGCTTGAACCAAAGCAGGCGTGTCATAGTCTGGAGGTGTGGATTTTTTTTATTAATTTGCCAAAACACACTTTGGAAACAAATCGCAAAACAGTGCCAATCTTTTTTGAATGTGATAAATGGGGACCCACTTGAAGCTGCGGAACTTTAAAGTGTTTTAATTTTTCTGTGTACAGTCCTTATTGGCAACAATGGTGTTCATGCTGCAATGGACAAATAAATAAATACCACATTTTTCATTTTTAAGCTGACGTCATTTTAGGCTTTTCTTGTGGGGGTTATTATGCATCTGATATGCAGCGGTGATGACATGTATTCAGTCTGTATATCAAAGCCGCTCCGTTTATGAAGATATTAATTAATTAATGTGGTTAGGCGTGTCAGGACATGGTACCCTCGCCGATGTCGTTCGGCGGGCTGAGGCGCTTGCTTGTGCTCGTGCGTCTCACTTGTCCGGCGGGCTGAGGCGTCTGCGTGTCCTCGCGCGTGTCACTCGTCCGGCGGGTGGAGGCGCCTGCGTGTGCTCGCGCGTGTCACTCGTCCGGTGGGTCGAGGCGCCTGCGTGTGCTCGCGCGTGTCACTCGTCCGGCGGGCTGAGGCGTCTGCGTGTCCTCGCGCGTGTCACTCGTCCGGCGGGTCGAGGCGCCTGAGTGCGCTCGCGCGTGTCACTCGTCCGGCGGGCTGAGGCGTCTGCGTGTCCTCGCGCGTGTCACTCGTCCGGCGTGTCGAGGCGCCTGCGTGTCACTCAGCGCCTGCTTGGTGAGCGGCAGCCATGGCTTCGGCGGAGCAGAGCACAGACACAGACTGCGGTAAAACTCAGTGAGCGCTGCGGCCTGTAGTCTTGTTTGATGATGGATCGTTTCTGTGAAACGTCCAGCTGTGACGGTTAATACTCTAAGCTGTTTAGAAGAGGCTGGACCGAAATAACAAGAAAAAGGTTCCAAAGACGACAGATGAAAGGGGCCCTGTAATGCTGTGCGGTGTATCAGTCTGCCTCTTTAGAGCTTGTCCTGTTTCATTATGATTACGGCTCCAAAGCACCAACGCGGGGATTAATTATGAAAATATAACGTGCCTCGTTAACACAAGGGTCAGAAATCTCCGAGCACCTCTAATGCGTTCCTCTAATTTGTACAGTCAGTCCCAGCAGGTGCCTAAAACCCCATTGAAACAGACGACACTTCCGCTTAATTTCAGTTCATTCATTTATTACCATCTTTAATGCAACGCCAGCCTTGAAAATCGATCCCTGTTTCAGTAATCGCCTAGAAACCAGCCGTTATGTTTTTGCTTTGTTTTGTTTTCTAAGTATCTGACCCCAAACATAATGCACAATCTCCCCTGCTCTTGGTTACGCCCCACACTTGAAGCCATATATGATGTCAGTGTGTTGAATCCGGAGAGGACTTTCAGAGCAGTGTGCCAGTGTTCCTGTTTTTAAATGACCCACTCAGTTTGTGCCAAATTGTCTGTAACATGCACCAAAGGCTCATTTATCACTTTGCTTTCACATGGAAAAGTTTCTGACTAATATGTTTTGTAATCACAAATAAAGGTGTTTCCGGTGGATCCTTTCCAGACGAATGCGGTTTTCCAGTGCTTGTGTTTCTCTTAATAACTGGGGATCACTGCGCGGCAGCTGTCTGTCTCTGTCACAGAGAAAGCACTAAAGACTCCAGCATTCTGTCATTATTCTCAGTGTTGTGGTCTGGCATGAAATGACTGCATCAGAGGGTTTTCTCAGATGCCGCCTTTGCATGCTGTAAAAACGGCTTTTTTATGCTGTCATACAGAATCCTGTCAGCACACTGAAGACAGGAACCACGCCAAGCTGCCTTCTGCTGAAACATCTCACAGCTGTTAACGAGTCACAGGCTACCTGCATCATCTGCAGCAGGTCTGGAAGCAGCTGCCCTCTGCGTCTGACGTTCTGCACTAATCATCATGCTGGACACTTTTTACTGTGGTGAGCAGTGGTTTTCAGCAATAACACCAGCAGCAGTCAGACTACTTTGTAGGCAGCACTAACCAAAACCAGGTTATCTTGGTGGTAATAGGGCCCAGTGGCGCCTCCTACAGTATCTGGTGACATAGGCAGTGAAGCAGCTAAAATGGCCACAGCTTTAGCATTTTGCTTCTGCGCTTGTTAATCCTGTTACTGTTCCCTGCCTCATCATGCTTGTGGGCGACGGAGTAATCACCCGGGGGGGGGGGTCGTCCTCAGGGCTCCAGTTCTCTGGTCCACTTCCCTGTGCATAAAAGCTTCATCAGGCGGGTCTTGGGCCCAG